GAGGCCCCCACCTACCTTTCCTGACAAGGAACAGTTACTGACGACCTTGACCTGGCCTTCCCAAGACAGTGTGTGGAATGCCAGGGTCTGTAGCCTAATAATTGGGAGCTGTATCTCAGGCCTCCTGGAGGTAACCAGATAAGGGAAACCCAGCCTGCACAAACTGTCTCACTATGCTGTTTTCTTTTTTCAGTCCTAAGCCATCTGTGCTGGCTAGAGGTCTCTGTCACTCTGTGAACAGCACCTGAAGTCCCATCGGCCCATGTGCTTTGCCAAGCCAAGTGAGTCGAGGAACCCATCATCTGTGGAAATGCTGAGATCCGAACCAAATGTGATTTGTTCTGCTTCAGCCTTTCCTCAAATGACTCCATTAGGGGATCGCTGCGGCTCAGGGCTAATTAACTCATAATGGGTGCAAAGCATCCTGGGATACCAGCCCAGAGGGTGTCAAGGGATCTTGGGCCTTCTTTGTACACCCCGACCCTACTCAGGATGACAGTACACATTCAGTTATGTCCAGTTACAAACGGCATGCAGATGGAACTAAGCCTGTGGGAAGTCTTAAGACATGAGTCTTGCTTCTTGGTGGAGCAATTAGGTTAGCAATTTAGCATGGAAAGCCTAACTCATATTGGGAGTGGGGGTTAAGTTCTGTGCCTGTCATATCCTGGACAGGTGACTTGGGTGGCATCACTTCAGTAACTAAATGGTATAAAGACAGTACCCCCTTTGGAAGGATTAATGAGATAATACATACAAAGGCTCCAAGTCTCTGTTGTCTGTTTATGTTTCTTCCCATCCCTAAGTGACACAGAGTGATATTTAGATTTCCAAAATGAAGTTGGTCTTTCTATAATCTATGTAATTATTCAACGTTTGAAGGGAATCTTGTTCTGGACACTTCAGCAGGAGCCCTATTGGGCACATACAAAAGAGTTAAGAAATGTCTCCTGGTAGGCCTTATTATCATCCTTGAACACTGAAATACTCCATGATCGAAAGAAAGGACAATTAAATATGCTGTTTAAATAACTCTAAGGAAGACACAATGCCCAGTGCCAAGAAAGAGATTTTAAAAGACATGTGCATGCTCGGCTCTTTGAAAGACTTGGGAACGAGATTAACAAGCATGAAAAATTAGAAAGCAACTCCCAAGATAAAAAGAAAAATGTCATGTGGAGATGCCAGGATGTCATTGAGGCCCCCGGGGTAGGACAGGCATTCCCAAATGATGGAAGCTCAGGATGCCTGTATCAGTATCTACTAATGTGCTCCAGAGTTGAGCAGGGAAAGGAGAACAAATTCATTTCTTACCTGAAAAATAGAAAATTGAGGAAGGAAACACTAGAAATCAGACTCTCTTCCTTCACGGTTCAATTTACATCAAACATAGGCTTCAGACAAAGTCTTTCTCAATACTTTGACCAGATGGGAACCAGCAGGTGATTGCAGGTGTAGATGCTACAGGCTCAGGATCCAGGTAGACACCTTCACTCAATTTTCCAAACCTGCACAAGACCTCAAAACTAAGGTCTTGCATGGAATTATAACTCTATGGACCAAGCCTGAGGCATCAAATCTGGGTTCTAGGAGAACTTCCCCCTTTGAAGATGCCTAGTAGCTCTGGAAAGATAAAGCAGATTGTCCATGGCCACCATACAGTCCCTGTGATGGGGGCTACCCTAGCCACAGAGAAGCTATTTTGGTCATTTTCTCTGGGATCTCACTGTGAGCACTTGACAACATCTGTCCCCCTAGGAGAAGGAACTGTACATGTCAACCAAATCTTGAGTCCCTTCCTATGCCCATTCAAAGCTTGTTCCCCAAGTTCTCAAGATAACACAGGTACCATGATTTGACAACAGAATTTCTCTTTAGATGGGGATGATGTCACCCTCCTTGATCATAGCAAGGATGATCTGCTATAAAGACTGATAACTAGCCTGCCACTGAGAACATGTGAGTTCAAGGCAAGCCTGGTCTACTGAACAAGTTCCAGGACAGCCTCCAAAGCTACAGAGAAACCCTGTCTCGGAAAATCAAAAAACAAAAAAAGAAAACCAGTTAATAGGTTGTGCCTCTGTGGGAAGAAACAGCTATCCTCTCCTTTACAGCCTGAAGTAAAAGAACTATGGCAGAGCACCGCAGAGGGACAGTGTCTCCCTAAACACAGGCAACTGTGACTTCAGCCATATTTGGAAAAAGGATCTTTGTGGATTTAATCAGGTTAAGGGGATTGAGATGAGATCCCTCCATATAATCCATGTGTCATGAACTCAATGCAAAATGACTGTACAGGAAATAGAAGAAGAGACAAGGGCATGGAGAGGAGGCCACAGGAAGACAGATTCTGAGATGGAGCCCAGAAAGGGTTTGTCTTGCCTTACAGTTCCTAGAGATGCCATCCATCACAGCAGGAAAGGCATGGAGTATGGGCCAATCACCACACTGGGTCCACAGTCAAGAAGCAGAGAGAAGATGGGAGATGGGATCAGGTTATAGAACCTCAAGGCCTGCCCCTTGTGACAAACTGGGGAGCATCAGACACTAGAGGAGCTGAGAATGATCTACTGACACCCTCCAAGGGAGGGCAGCCCTATGACATGTGAGTGAACCTTGGGCCTCAGCCTCCAGAACTGTAATACAATAAGATTCTACTATTCTAAGGCACCAGTCACAGTTATTCGCCAGCACATGTTTTAGCACACAAAGTGTCTAGAAATGTAGACTGACTATAGACCTCAGTCTCTAAGACATAAAAGGACAGGGCATTCTCAAGCCAATCCAGGATTTATTGCTAAAATTCTGTCTCTCTGGCAAACCCCTGGTGGTCATGGTCTCTCACCAAGCAGCTTGAGTGGAAGAAGATATGGGGAGAAGCTACCTAAACAAAAGTCCCAGAAAATTCAGGACTTACCTCCTCCCTCTCCACCCAGCACGGAAGCCACTTAGGGGAAGCCCAGTTACAGGGTTTCCATAGTGATTTAAAAGCATTTCAAAACACAAGCACCTGCCATGACAGTGACAATATAAAGAAAAAAGACCTTCAAATCCTAGAAGCTGTGCTGGGAAGAGGCAGGCCTGGGTCATCCCTATTGGCCACCATTTTTAATGAAGAATTGGGTGAGAAATATGAAGTTATTTTTGTGGGCAGGATTGTTTCCTTAGGCTTCCCTGATAGCACATGAACACGTTTCAGTACACACAAATGAAATCTTTAACCTGCCAATTTACCTCATACTTTTATATAACAGATGTCTAAATACCAGTTGCCTGCACAACATCAATGTGCACATGACAGAAGCATTAATATCCAACTCACTAAAAAAAAAGACAGCTGGTTTGATTTTTGATATTTTTATTTGGTTGCATAAAGATTCGATCAATACCTGCAAGGAGCAGGGACAATAATGATAAGAATAACAGTTGCAGCATCATTACTGAGCACTTACCAAGTGTAATGCACTGTGCTAAACATCTAAGAGGTGATAATCCATTTAATCGTTCCCAAAACATGATCAGATGAGAATTAAAATGATGACCTTGTAAATTGGTTAAGTGGAGCTCAGGGGTTTTCAACGACTTATGCCAGCTCATAGGCTGCAGATGTGGGATTCCAACCAAGTTTCTATGCTGCTTGTGACAGTACACCATGCAAGCTTCCCTAGTGAAAAGACACAGAGTGCCACGATTAGAACCCGAGATTGCAACTGCAGGACCTGGAGGAGGGGTGGCCACTGAGTCACACTTTCTAGGACCCAGAAGAGAGGTAGCCACAGAGTCACACCTTCTAGGCCTTGCTACTTACTGTATATAAGCTGCTTTAATAGAAATGTGAGTTACCTAAGGATAAGTTAGTTGTGTATGCACTTGTGTGTATGTATATATATATATGTGTGTGTGTGTGTGTGCTTGTGCGTGTGAATATACATGTGTATGTGTGTCTGCTTGCATACAGAACTCATTGCATATTGTGAATACATGTATATTTGTGTGTCCAAGTGTGTGCATGTGTATTACATGCTATATGTGTTCTTGTATGTGTACTTGTGTTTGTGTGTTCATCTGTTTGAAGATAAGAGGAGAGGATATGGCACAAGCTGTGGTGATCAGTTCTCCAGAAGAGTAGCCTGAGGGGTTCTCCCAGCTTAAACACTGGTCTCCGGTTCTAAAACAGGGGTTTTCAATTTGTGGTTCACGACCCCACTGGGGTCACATATCAGATACACTATATATCAGATAGTTACATTATGATTCATAACAGTAGGGAAATTGCAGTTATAAAGTAGTAACAAAATAGCTTTTTGGTCAGGGGCGGGTGAGTCACCACAACATGAGGAACTGTATCAAAGGGTCATAGCATTAGGAAGGTTGAGAGTCATTGTCTGAAAAGAAAGCAAACCAATAATGAACATAAATCCTCCCTACAAGACTTTCAGGATGTCTCCCATCAAGTTTCACCTGAAGGTCTCCTCTGAGACTGCTGCTATGCAGAACAAGGATAAGAAGGAACTGTATGGTTTCGTGTAAAGTTTCTGGCTCTGTAAAGGGCACAGGGCAGGCACCTGGCTCAGACACCGGGCAGGGACTTGCTTAGACACATGGAGGTGACCTGTTCAGACACAAGGCGGGGACCTATTCAAACATGGGGTATGGACCTGATTAGACACAAGGAAGTAACTTACTCAGACACAGGACAGGGGCCTACTCAGACGCAGAGCAGGCATGTTCTCAGACAGGAGGTAGGAACCTGCCCAGATACAGAGCAAGGACCAAAGCAGGCCAACCTGGACTTCCAGCAAAGGCAATGTTGGGGGTTAATTCTTCACACCCAACTCCTTCCTAACATCCTGGACCAGGGAGAAGCTGGCAGCAAGCAAGTTGGGACTCCCCTGGAGGACTATGCAAGGCAGAGCCGAGGAAAGGGGTGTACAATAGCCAGCGGTCACAAGTTGCTTCTGTCCAGCACATCAAAGAGCACTGATGCTTGTGTCTTACAGGACTTTGCAGACTCTGTGTCCCAGCTGGTCACACAGAAGTTCCGTGAACTGACAGTCGGTCTGACATCTGTGTATGCCCGCCACAAAACACTGGCAGGAATCGTCATGACAAAAGGTAACTACCTTTCTTTTCCTGTGGGAATTTTTGTCTCCACAGAAAGAAATGTTAATATTAGCCTGGTCCTAGAGTCAAAGGATACTTCCTACCATGTGGAGATGGACAAAAGAAGACAATGTAGAATACAAAAGTATCAGTGGCCACTGTTACTATCAGAACAACCACACTGGCAATATTGTGAAGACTTTTGATGCTTCTCTTTATTCCCATGAATTCCATAAGGCATTTATGTATATCTTTCCTTTCAAGAATGATGCTAGTATTGATAAAGCTTGAATCAGAGACCAGGCTACCACATATCACTTGAAGCTGATGGATACAGAGGTGTTCTGCTTCTCTGTCACTTCTAAGATGTCTAAGACTGGTGACTAATGATATCACTCATACAGAAGGAGCACACTACATGAGTCTGGGAAGATGGAGCCAGTGCCTACAAAAGAAGTCAGGTGTGGAGGGGTGAACTGTCCAAGCGATGCTGGTTGTCCAAGTATCTTCTTCTCTCACCTAAGAATGTCAGTGGGCCTTCTCAGTGTACACTCTTCACATTGATTCCCACCAGTAGAAGGCTGTGAGAAGCAATGGAAGGAACACCAAAGGGAAGTAAGAGGATAGAAAAGAAGTAACACAGTGTGGACAAAAAGTGACACAAGAGATAGTGAGGTTATATGGGAATCTAGTTGGGAACAGCACACAGCAGACACAGAGAAACACGGGGGACATGGAAAGATACAAAGTGACATGAAGAACAGGGGAGGACATGGAGAGGAAGGAAAGACACAGAGGGATACAAGACACTAGAGTATATTTCAAAGTATCTGCCTCCTGAGTGCTTTAAGGTCCTCTTACTGGGACATACACTACTGGGTGAAAGTCCCCCTTCTTATCCATACTCATCATTCCAATCTGCTCTCAGAAATGCAATTCCATTCTTTAAAACAAGGATAACAAGACCTTATGGAAGGTCACTGTTACTTTATGTCAGGTGGGGAGAAAATGATGACTGGATTTGAACAGTCAAATTTCTGAAATTTTCTAATTATTAACAAATGTAACTAATCATCCGGTTGTATAACTCTATCATTTTTCTCTAAAGAAAAGAACAATTATCATAAAATAAAAATTATCTGGGAGCAATAAAAGGTTCACAGTAACACATGACTTTGTATAGGCAACTTCTAAAACTGAAAAACACTATCTGGTGTCCAAAATTATTTACACTTAGAATATGAAAAAAATCAAATGATTGCCAGAGTTTCCCTGTCATTCTAGACACCTAGAAATCACTCCAATATTCAAGAACAAAGGAACAGGAAAACAAACCCTTGGGCCCCATCGTATGCCAGGCACAGTGTACATGATCCAGCCTTTCCAATTCCCCCATCTTAGCAAAGTGGAAATCACAATGCTTCCTCACAGTGTAATTTGTAAGATAAAGTACATCAAATGCTTTGAAAGGTGAAAATCACTTTAAAACACACTATTCTGTTCTAAGGCAAAGTAATTCGCTTTTTTCAATGACATCATTGCATGTGGTGTCATGCATACACCTGAGCCACTATGAGGGATGCCCACCCCCTTTCACACATTGAACAGCATCTGTCCCTGCAAAACAGGAAATGTTCTAAATCCAGGGCTAAATCAACCTCTACCAAGACCATTACCATCAAGAACAATCCTGTATCTACCCATCCACTAAACCTGTTCTACATGAAAAGACTCAACTTGCCAATGGAAATTTAATGGTTTATTGAGGGAGTAAAAAAATGAATCCAGCTCTATCGACAGCTAGCTCTGTGACTGGAGGCAGGGTACTTGGCCTCTCTATGACTTGGTTTTCTCACTCATAAAAAATGAAACAAATATAACCCAGTAAAGTTACAGGGAAGGTTAAATGTATGTATGTGTAATATACTTGGAAGCCTTGCTGTTTAGGCTTTACTGTCAACTTGACACAACCTAGAGTCACCTGGAAAGAGTCTTTTTCTGCTATTGTTGATTTATTGAGAAGTTAATATGATATAGTTTAATCATATTCTTTTCTCTCCCCCAACTCCTCCCAGATCCATCCAACTTGATGTTTCTTCATATTTCTTTCTCTCTTAAAAAACAAAGTACACACACACACACACACACACACACACACACAAAGAAGAATGGAGTGTGCATTGTGTTGGCCAAGAGTCTTAATGGGAGATTATCTAGATCAGGTCATCCTGTGAGACTGTCTTGATTTTTATTTGATATAGGAAGACCCAGCCTATTGTGAGAGGCACTATTCCCTAGACAAGGGTTCCAGAATAGTAAAGAGACAAGAAATTTAGATGGCACCAAGCAGGTAAGGAAATAGGCCCTCACACATTCGTGTGTCTCTACTTTTTCTTCTCTGTGAATGTGATGTGACTAACAGCTTGAGTTGTTGCCTTGACTTGCCCTCAATGATAGACAGTAACCTGAATTGTAAGTTGAACAAACCCTTCCTCCCCTAAGCTGCCATTTGCTAAGATATTTATCATAGCAACAGAAATGAAGCTAGAAAAGAGTTCTAATCCTTAGTAATAAACATGTAATGTTAATTAGTAATCTTGCTATCTTTAATGCGCAAGTTATTAGCTGAGTGCCAACAATACTAAAACTGACCAAGTGCTTACTCTGATAATCAACTGGGGAATGTGTTATTTAACAAAAAGCATAAAACCAATACAAAATAATCCTAAGAGAGTACCATACACAGAGTCTCAAAACACACAAACAAAACTTGGGCAATTTTTAAAAATGTAAAGTGTCTCATAGGTTTCTGTCACATGTTTCTGCCAGGACAATTCAGCAGAAAAGGTAAGACAGACAGACAGATACATGCACATACAGAGAGAGAGAGAGAGAGAGAGAGACAGATAGACAGACAGACAGAGAAGGAGAGAGGGGGAGGGAGGGAGGGAGGGAGAGAGAGAGAGAGAGAGAAAGAGAGAGAGAGAGAGAGAGAGAGAGAGAGAGAGACTCCTCTTTTCTATTGTGCAGTACATGCCCAATTCCAAAAGTCTACATGAGTTGGTTTTCAACTGTTTCCAGCTCTGATTATCTTTCTACTTTCATAGGAAACTCAAAATGGAAATTTTTGAAAGCTGTTTTGAGACTTCATATGAAAAACAGTTGTGTTTTACAAGGTCTTGTGAAAAGATAATGTTTCAGTTACCAGCAAGCATACTATTTTCTACACAGGTGATACATTTATTTATGAGAACTAAATTCATTACATGAAAGAGTCTTTATAAAGAAAGGCTTTATAACTAGTCATCTGTAAACCCTAGAGTATCATTTGTTGGAATTTGTTTTCCTGTTATAAAGGGCATCGTTAATAAACTTTAATTTAGAAAAGATTATAAAGAAATTTGCAAAGTAATGAATATAATATTTGTAAATATTCATTTACTCTAATTTGATGTGCCATATGATCTTAACTCAGGTTCAGTTATTCAAGGAAATGCCTCAGGAATTCTAAGAGAAAGTGGTGTGTTTGCTATACCAATTACAATGCAATAAATTAAACCGATACTTAAATAAACTTCATCTGATTTTCACTATTTGCAAAAGGAATATTATTTTTAGCCATTATGAAGAATACTATTGGGAAAATATATACTTATGAACAGACTGATTTTTTAAATCTTCATCTAATTGGCCCAATCCTATGATAAAAATTCAAATATGAAGTAACTTATGAATAAAAACTAATGCTCCCCAATCTCATTGTTCACCATTTCTACCTAATTGAATTTGTTTTATTAATCCTTTGAGTTCTACATACACAAAATATGTTTTGATTATATTCATCCATGACTTCTTCAAGACCTTACCCCATTCTCAGCTTCACGTCCATATTTTTTTAACCCACTAAGTCCAATTCGTGATATACATGCATACACATGGGGGTAAGACCATCCACTGAAGTGTGGTCAACCTACTAGGAGCCACACTCTTAAAGAAAGCTGACCATTCATCTCCCAGAAGTCATCAATTGTCAATAGCTCCTCAGCAGGAGTGGGGACTTGAGAGCATCCTCCTACAACATGCTAGAATGATCCTGTGCAGGTTTAGTGCAAGACACCACAGCTGCTGTAAGTTCATGAGTGCAGCATCCAGTCATTTCAGACGCAGTTTCATCCTGGTCCTCCCTTACTTCTGGATTTTTCAATCTTTCCACCTCACTCTTGTACAATATTCCCTGAACCTTAGGGGAAGGGGCTATGATATATATGTCCCCTTTAGGGCTGAGCACTTCGCAAACACTTATTCTTTGATCAGTTGTGTGTTTTCTACATGAACCATCATCAATGATAAAAAGAAGCTTCTCTTGTAAGGACTGAGAGCTGCATCTGTATACTGCCCAATATGTTAACTTGTTCTCAGGACTCCAAATACTCCATTGGCTCTACATTTCTATATTTCCAATTCTAGTTAATATCTATTAAGCAATGCTGTTGTAATCTAATACTCCTTCATTTGTGATTTGTGTAGTTATAATTTTATGACATTACTGAATGTGAGCTATTTTTATTCTATTTGGATTATACGGCTTCCTATTCTGGTATTTACTCAGCCTTTTACTTACTAGCCAAATTCTCATAACTATAATTTTAATAATAGGATCATAACTGATAATACTTATGTTCTAATTAAATCTTCAATATTTTGAGTACCACTAAGAGTTGAAAAAACAATAACATAGCAACTACATAACTAACTAGGCACAGAAACAGGCTGGGACCTTGAATTACATTGTGTTCTCTACCAACAAAATTCTTCCAAGAGAGAGCAACTATCTTATCCAGGTCACAGACTCTCACTTTTATCAATAACACAAAATCAGCCAGGCGGTGGTGGTGCAAGCCGGGCGGTGGTGGCGCACGTCTTTAATCCCAGCACTCGGGAGGCAGAGGCAGGCGGATCTCTGTGAGTTCGAGGCCGGGCTGGACTGATAGCCTCCAAAACAATACAGAGAA